AAATTATCAGCTCAAATTTTCTACATAGCATAAGGGCATCAATAATTATGTATCAGAAAAAGTAATAAAAATTGGGGGTGATTTTAGAGCCATTGTTTTGAAGAAGCATGGGCTATAGCCTTGGGTATTTTTTTTAAATTGGCTTACCATATAGCCAAAAAATTTCGTGAGGAATAAATTTTCGAATTTTCGTGATCACTGTTTGCATCACGAAAAATTAAACCCCTGAAAATTAATATTAATTTAGAGGCATGGTTAACCATGCCTTACTAATAAATGTGCCCTCGTGTCAAGACGTGTTCTCGGTCAAGCTGACGTCTCTGTTACTCTGTATTGCTATTTTAAGCATACTGCCTAGGTCAAAGATGATGATCTTCCCCATCACTGGTGTCCACACTGATTTGTAGACATGGTGCCCTTTGACACAAGAGTCCGTCTCAAACATTGAATCTGCCATGTTTTAATTAAATAAGGCGTGGTCATTATTATTATTAAAATTAAATCACGAAAATATTTATCACGGAATTTAAAATTTCTCCATAAATTTCATTATTCACGAAATTTTAAGCCTAGAAAATTTTTGAAAATAACTTGAAAATTACTTGTCGGAAACAGTTCAAATTTTCTACACAGCATAAGGACATCAATGTGTATCAGGAAATGTAATAAAAATGGGGGGTGATTTCGGAGCCATTTTTACAAAAATGCATGACCTATAGCCTTGGGTATTTATCAAAAATTGGCCTATTTCTAAAAATGCTCATAACTCGAAAATTATTTGTCAGAAACAGTTCTAAATTTCTACACAGCATCAGTATATCAATATGTATCAGGAAATGTAATAAAGATTTCGGAGCCATTTTTTACAAAAAAGCATGGGCTATATATATATATAGCCTTGGGTATTTTTCAAAAATTGGCTTATTTCTAAAAATGCTCATAACTCAAAAAATATTAGTTGGAAACAGCTCAAATTATTAACAAAAAATAACAAAATTAACAAAAATATTAGGTCACACACATAAACTTAACCTATTTATCAAAAGACACATTAATATTCTTACTCAGGAGGTAGGATAGCTTTCATCATTACAACTTCCTTTCTCACCACACCTCCCCTCACTCCACCCACTCCTCATCCTTACCTACACAACATCACATGACTATCATCAAAGGTCACATGATCTCTCACTTGTATGGTCACGAGGGGATCTTGAGGGACGAGGGAGAGGTTGGCCGTCACATGTGGTCTCCTGGTTCTTCAATACAAGAGATACTAGAGGACCAATACTGTTCCTTTCCGGAGGATGTCAGCTCTCATTCATTTAATTAAGAGGAGGACATCAAAGAGAAGATAATGAAGAGACTCAAACCTTCCTAACATATAGGAGAGACTATAATAGAAAGAGAGGGAGGGAGAGATATACATAGAGAAAGGAAAGAAGTAAAGGAATAGAATGAGGGGGAGGAGGGAAAAGGAGGGAAGAAAAATAGAAAGAAGAAAGGGAAGAAAGAAAAGAAACAAGTAAAGAAATGAGAAAATGGAGAGAAAAATACATATGTACATGGTGATAGGAAATGTTTCCTGTTTTTCTATCACTTTTCCTTATAATTGTGTGTGCCACTGCTTAGGTACAGTTTTCATGGATTAGTAAAGTGTACGAATCAAGTTAGCAAATTAATAAGTTAACTACAATGAAGCAGCTAAAAGCAAGAAAACAAAAAACATGCAGTACATGTACATGTATCATTAACTGAAAATGACTATAAATACACATGTACATGTACATGTATCAATTAATGGACAATGTTATGAAGACAAATTGAGGTAATACTGTCCATGCAGTATAGCTAATAGGAGGAGCACATGAAATAAAAGCTGAGATCCCTCCCTCTCTCTCTCTCTGATGTCCTTATGAGCTAAAAAGCAAAAAGTAAAATAATTTCTGTCAAAATTATAAAATTTAATACTCAACAGATAAGTATGTATGCATGGAGAGAGATATACATGTACATATGGTAGAGAGTGGATACAATATTTACCTTGCAAATA